AATAGTTACAGAGTATGCAATATCAAGAAAGTTGGCATGTACGTTGAGAGTTTTGTTAGAATTAATATGACAAAGTAATTTAGTAGCCAAATTTGTAGAAATAAAGATGGTGCACTTATTGGTAATTGTATTGGAATTAAGGTGACATCTAGGGCATATGGTAGTAGTAGAAAGAGGAGTAGGATATGGATTAGTAAACTGAAACTGAAATGAACAGTGCTAGTAAGTGATAAAAGTAAGGCCTGTAGAGCTATTATGCCTTCTGGTCTTACCAACAATGATTTAATTATTAAGAATAGTAAAAAGCTAGGATTTGGTATTAGAGTTAAAGTGATCAGTAGTATAGGAAAAGTAGTTTAACTAAGGTAGGTTAAAATGATTGTATAATGTATATTATGTGTATAATTTTAAATAATGCATATTTTATTTTATCTAAATTTTATTTATTATTTTAATTCTTTCTGATGATCATCTGAACCAAGTTGGTACTGAAAGTAGATTGAAGACTCTGGCTCCAAAGTGGATAATATTCTTAGTTTTACATTAAGTAAACTTGCTGCTGACAAAGCTCAAGTATGTAATATACTGAGAAGTGAGTGAAACTTGAGTGGTTCTTACTTTGGATTAAGCTTTTTGTCTAGTGGCTCCCTTGTATATTCAGCATCCAAACTGGAAGAATATTCTGAAAGCAAGTAGAAACAAAATCAGTTCTTTGATTAAGAATATTAGAAGCAGAAAAAAAAAAAGAACAACTAGGAAAACTCTTTAACTTGGACCCTTGCAACAATAATAAATTTTCTCTTTATCTTTTTTTTGTTTTCTTTTTTTTTCAAAAAAATAAAGATTTGGCTTACCCTTATCAAAAGATTGACATTGTGTATTACTTTCTTTTGTGGTTATATACTTGTTTGAACATGGTGAATAAGGAACACAACAAACATATAAGTCAGCCAATTATGTGAAGCAAATCAAAAAAGGATTTAATTCAGAAAGACCAAAAATATATTGAGATATGCATATATTTCAAAACCATGTGTATAATATTTTTTTTTTAAAAAAAAAAGGTTACAGAGGTTGATGAAGAATTGGTCCACTTAAGTGTACTTCAAACCTTGGCACAGTACCCCACCTACTTGAAGATTTCTTCTATATGAAAAGTGCCTAGCTTGAACTCCATCCTACAAGTGAATACAGTTTTCATTCTGGTTAAGAATACCTAGTTTCTAGAGAATAGCCATAGTTCATAAAAATATAAAAACATTGTAGCAAGTAGCAATTGTAGAATAGAGTTTTATTCTGTTAGCAGGTTTCCTTCTTTATTCTCTTTATAGATTAGTTTCATTTTTTTTTTGTTTAGTTTTATTTTACTCTCTATTTTTATTCATTTCTTTTCCAACTTTAAAATCAATTTTTTTTTTTTTGTTTTTCTCTTCCCTATGAGAAGATGTCTCCAGATTGGCAGTATCCTATTGTGGGGCAGGAGTCAGATGAGTTGTAATTTCTAGTCCTAACTGAATTAGTGTGGCAGGTTACATTTAGATACTATTTGGGTAGCTGAATGATAGTAGACTTATAAATTAAATAATATTCTGTATTTATATATATAGTTACAAATGGTTTAATGAAGTACTACCATGATTGCTTAAGAGAAAAAAATATTTATTTATAAAAATTAATATATATATAATTTAGGCTTGATTGCATAATACTAAGCAAAATTAAAAAATAGAGATACAGTAGTTCAAAAATCCTTAAAAGAAAATAAATATAAAAGAGAAGAAGAGTTAAACAAAAATTTGAACTATTATTTAATATTTTTTGAAGAAAAAATATAAAAAATTATATTATATGATATTATGTATATTAATATGCATGATATTGTATATTATAATAAAAATATATATGTTTTTTATTTATAACTATAAACTAGTTTATGATTGAATTTGAGAACAATAAACTAGTTCAGAATTGAGTTTGAGGACAATGAACTAGTTCATGATTAAGTTTGAGGATTGTAAACTAGTTCATAATTGAGTTTGAAGATTGTAAACTAGTTCATAATTAAGTTTAAGAACTGTGAACTAGTTTATAATTAAGTTTGAAGACTATAAACTAGTTTATAATTAAGTTTGAGAATTGTGAATTAGTTTATAATTGAGTTTAAGATTTATAAACTAGTTCACATTAAATTTAAGAAATATAAACTAGTTCATGATTGAGTTTGAGAACTGTAAACTAGTTCACAATTGAGTTTAAAAACTGTAAACTAGTTCATGATTGAGTTTAAAGACTATGAACTAGTTTACAATTAACTTTGAAAACTATGAACTAGTTTACAATTAATTTTAAGAACCTAATCTAATTTATAATTAACTTTAAGAATTATAAACTAGTTTATAATTAACTTTAAAAACTGTGAATAGTAATGGATTTCATGCATATACATAATTTCTTAATTATGTATATAATTATAAATATTTTAAGTTTAATTTTTATTCTTAAAGTTTTTTTAAAAATTTTATATTAAAAATTTTATATAAAAAACTTATAAAAAGCCTAAAAAATATAATAAAAAATATAAAAAATCTTAGAAAATTTTAAAATATTATAATACAAAATCTAAATATTTTAATATTTAATAAAATAAATATTATAATATGTAAAATAATTTAAAAGTATTTAAATTTATTAAAATGTATAAAGTAAAAATATAAAAAATATTAAAAAAATATAAAAATATAAAATATAAAATATAAAATAAAATAAAAAATATAAATATAAAATAAGAAATATTAATTTTTTAAGATTTCTTCTTGCAGATTATCATCATCTATATTTAGTCTGAGGCTCAGTACTAGTCTGAGTTTTAGTAGGAGTTTTGATGCCTCTAGGAGTATTTGCAGAAGCTTGTAAATGTCTTACTCTTTTAGAACTCTAAATAATAAATTAATAAAAAATTTTATAATAAATTAAATTTAATACAATTATTTAATTTATTATATTATATTTACTCTTTTAGACATTTGCTAAGGTGTTCATCATCTTTTTTTACTTGCTAACTGTAATAAAATTAATAAAAGATAATACAATAATAAATAAAATAATTAATACTTATTTTATTAACTTCTTCTTCTTTACTTGAAGTTGTTTCATTATTTGCAAATAGAACAAAACCTTGTTTATTCTTTAATCTTTTCTTTATTTTATTATATTTATATATTTAGAAATTATTCAAATTATTATAAATTAATAATTTGTTATATTATCTTAAAATAATGCAATTTACAAAAAATAATTTGCAATATTTCAAATATTACTTAAAATATATAAAAATATTAAAAAATTATTTATAAGATTTTTTTAAGCTGATTTTTAATTAGTTTTTTGAACATTATTAATCATTTATAGTAAGAACTTAACATAATTTGATATATACTAATAGCATATGCAACTTTTATGTTTGACAGCATTTTTGAAGGCCAAAGTTTGTTCAAAATTTTTTGCATATATATTTTTTTCGTATCTTTTAGTATATTAATTGATCTAAAAAGCTTTTTATAACATAATTTTGTTTTCGATAAAGCTTTCCAAATTACAACTTCTTAAGGTAGTAAATTCATGTTAATAGAATCTAACTGGCTTTCATCAATGACTACAAACATTGCATCTTTTATATGTATTGTTAAGCCACTTTGCACTAATCTGTATTGTTTTAAAAGCTAAATTTTATTTTAACAAAATAAAATTATTTTTTAGCATTATAAGAACTTTATAAATATAAATTATTTGAATATTATTAAATTTATTATATATTTGTAAAATATTAAGAAATTTAGAAAATATATTAAAAATAAATAAAATTTAAAAGTATTTTAATTTAATTCAATTCTTTTGCAATATTTCGATTATATTTACAATTATTCAAAATTAAAATTAAAGATATTTACTGGCCCTGTGATGTTTTTAGTATAATATATTTTTCATGCTTTTTTTGTTATTGATTTATAGAATTCTGAATGCTTTTCAAACATCCATATTTTAGTTGCATCTATTAAATCATCTTTGAAAGGATAGATTGAATATTTTATTAATTCCTTTGCAATAGCTTTAACTAATTGCTAATTATACAAGATAATATATATTATTAGTAATTTAAAACAATTGCAACTTGTTTCTTTTGAATTATAAAAATTATAACTAATACTTTTATATAGTGTTTGAATTTGTGAATATCTGATTATTTTTTGTTCAATCTACTGAATTATTATATCCAGTCATAAACTATTTGATGAAATTTGGTAACATCTGTTTAAATTTATTAAAATAAATTTATTAGTAAAAATAAGAAAAATAAAAACTAATTTATAGAACCAATAAATTAATAAATTACAATATTATCAATTATATTATATATATTGCATTATATATTATGTGTTTTTGTTAGTTTTGAGAAAATATTGTTCTAACATAATTTATATTTCTTTTAAGAAATAACATTTACTCAAATAAATCAGAGTTTAAACGACTATATTTTGTAGTCATAAGATTTCCTACTTCACTAAAAAGATGCTCACTGGATATAGAAATAGCTGAAATGCACAAATATTTGCATGCTATTTTGCTTATTATTGGGAAATTATTTTGTTAGCTGTTCTACTATTTTAATAAACATTTTACATTTAAAATTTTTGAAAGCATGAGATAAACTTGAATTTCTTCATTAATTTCAGAATCCTGAATAGAGGATGTGTACATAGCAGCTAATAATATATTTTTTTTCTTATCATCTTCTATTTGTATTATATTATATAATGTTAATGCTGATTCTTTAAAAAGTTCATATTTAGTTACCAAATAAGTTTTAGCTTTGATCCTTTGACTGTCTGTAGCAAACTTTATTTTTTTATTTCTGAGATCAAAGATTGTTACAAGAAGAGATTTACAAGTTAGATAATCTCAATAATAATTTAAAGCATTATATAATGCTAACCTAACTTTACTTAGTATTCTTTCACAGTTTTGTAAGATGTTAATTTTAATTTGATTTTTTTTATCTCACTTTCAACGTTCAATATTTCTGGTTCATCAGCAAATTTGATCTCTTCTTTCAAATTCAAGTCATCACTAAATGCAGAATTTGAATTATTAAAATTTACTATAACTGTAACTATATTGTTATTAATATTAAGTAATTTTTTTAATGAAGATATTGCTAAAAACATGTAAGACATTGTGGCATATTTGCTTTCACCAAGCATTTTGGTAGCATATCTAAAGGATTATAAAATTTAACTAGGTCATTCATTGATTGCCATTTACTTGATATTAATATAATTCTTTTGAGACATTATGTATCTTTTTTAGCTGCAAAATCATTACTATGGCTTAATGTAACTTGCATGATCTTAATAGCAAATTTCAATTTAAGGATTTAAACTCACACTTAATATAATAAGTTCCATCTTGTTGGAACATTAGCTATTACTTGTAAATCTTTATGATTGTTACCAATATTATTATATATCTTGTGATTTAATAATGCTTGTGCTATTTCTAGCTGTTTGCTTTGTTTGAGTGACATAAAAAATTGTATAAGTTGTTTGGCCTATATGACTAGTACTTTAATTGGTAACAAGCCTTTATTTATAACAAGTTATAAAGTATATGTATTACATAAAAGTCGATTAACTTCTTCTATTTTACTAATTGCCTTTATCATATTTTTGGCATTAACAGTAGTTATCATAAAGTATTTTTCAAAAATATTCCAATCTTGCATAATTGATTTCAAGATAGTAGCAATTGTAGAGCCAGTATGTGGATACTTTAATTGATGAATTGCTTGAGTAATGTTTTGTAGTTCAAATTCTAAATTAATAAATGAACATGTAATACTAATGTATTCTGTTCTACTATGCACTATTCATAAATCTGTTGTCAAGCTATAATGTTTTATCAAATTATTTATTTTATTATAAAGAGTTACTGATATCCAATTATAAGCCATATAAATTTTATTTTTAATTCCTTTATCACTAGGTAATTCATAAGATGGACCAAGTGCCATTAAATATTTTATAAACCCTTGGCTTTTTAGTAAATAAAATAGTTGTAAATCAGTAATTATAAATTTGACTAAGGCTCTATTAACTTGTTCCTTATAAATAATATTATTTTTTATTAGTTGATGAAATCATTTATTGAGTATTAGTTGGTCCAATTCACATCTTTCAAATTTTGTAATTTCATGCTTATTTTGTAGATGATTGCTAAAATTTCCCGTGCCACCATCTGTTTCAATTATATAATTGCATTTAAGTTTATCTTTTTTTAGTTTTTTATATTGGCCTTTGAATCTATGATTAGTAGATAATTCTGTACAATGATTTCATATTTAACTTTTTTTTCTTAACCTTTCTTTTTTTTTGAGTTTGTTAGATTTATCATTGTCTAGTAAAAGTGTTGTAGTTCTAATGTCTGTTAAAAGAACCCTATTAGAATCTTTATTAAAACTTTCTCTACTGCTTTCTATTTCTATTAATTAATGTTTATATGCTATACAAGGCAAGTGATAAACTGGTATTTATTAGATACAATTTTACAATAAAGTAAAAAATTAGGTTATGCATCGATTAAACCTCTTATTTAAATTTATTTATATTTTGATTACATTAGTGATGCATTAAAATAGACTTTAAATTAAACTTATCATTATTACAATTTTTACTTTTAAGTTAATTCTGGATAATCTAATAGATAGCAAATAAATATTTACTAGATTAAAATAATCAGATATCTATTGGTTAATCTGATAATTGTTTCAATAGATTCAAACTCTACTTTTATAAATTTATTTTCAATTGATAAATTATATGATTCAGTTATTTTATTATCTAACTCAGTTAAATGTCTTTCTATTCTATCAACCTTTTCAGATAATTTTGTAAGTTTATCTATAATTTTTGTAAGAAGATTTTCTGAATTGTATAAAAAAAAATTAAAACTTTTTTAAAAATTAAAAATAAAATAAAATAAATTAATTAATATTTTCAAAAATTTGAATACCTTCAGGAGAATGCAAAATTTTTTTAATAATTTTAGGTAATCTTCTCACAGAATCTGCTGCTTTTCTTTTTTCTGAAGTAATCAAAGCTTCACTTCTTCCTAAAGTTACATCTTTATTTACTTCAGATTATAATATTGGATCAGCAATTAATCTTGCAAAAATTTGTTTTGATTTCAATTGTTTTTTGATAATTTTAGGCATTATTAAAAATATACAAATATTTTAAAATAATATAGTATAATTAAAAGTATAATGTAAATTATAAAAAAAATGAAATTAAAAATATTATAAAAAGAAAAATTGCAAATATAAAAAAAAATGTAATAATAAAAAAAAAAAAAAGAAATATAATATGTAAGAAAAATAAAAGAAAGAGAAAAAAATATAAATACAAACAAGTACAATAAAGCTATTTAAAGTAGAAAAATTATATAAAATATTAAATAATATGAATATATTTAATAAATAAAAAGGTTGAATAAATTGAAATATAAGAAAAACTAGCAATGACAATAAAGAATTGCAAAGAAATTACTCTTTCTTTTTATAATTTAAGAGCTTTAATCATTTCAAAGCAATTTTAATATTCTTAATTAATCAAAATATTTAAGTGCATATTTCAATAATTATAATAATTCTAATGTATTCAAATATATTCACTTTTCATTAAAAATATTTAAGATATTCAAAAATCATTTCATTTTAATTTAACTTTTAATTATTTTAAATACATACATTCATGTTGTTTTTAATATAAATTGCTTTAAATGTTTAACAATTTTAATTACATTACTAGTTTTAGAAAATTACAAAATACTTTAAAACAAATTAATTTATATTAAAAACAATAACTATTCATTTTATGAAATCAACTCTTTCTGATAATCACCTGAATCAAGTTGGCACCGAAAGTAAATTAAAGACTTTGGCTCCAAAGTGGATAATATTCTTAGTTTTATATTAAGAAACTTGCTGTCAATAAAGCTTAAGTACATAATACACTGAGGAGTAGGTGAAACTTGAGTGGTTCTTGCCTTGAGTCAAGCTTTTGTCTGGTGAACTCCCTTATATATTTGACATCCAAACTAGAAGGATATTCTAGAAACAAGTAGAAACAGAATCAGTTCTCTGGTTAAGAATATTAGAAGCAAAAGAAAAAAAAGAATAACTAAAAAAACTCTCTTTAATTTGAATCCTTACAACAATGATATACCTTCTTTTCATCTTTTTTTGTTTTCTTTTTTTTTGAAAAGTGTGAATTTGGCTCACTCCTATCAAAAGATCAATATTGTGTATCACTTCCTTTTGCAGTTATATGCTTGTTTGGACATGGCAAATAAGAAACACAACAAATACATGAGTTAGCCAATTATGTGAAGCAGATCAGAAAAGGATTTAATTCAGAAAGACCAAAAATATATTAAGATATGCATATATTCTGAGGCTATGTGCATAATATTTTTAAAAAAAAGAGTTACAGGGTTTATGAAAAATTGGACCACTTAAGTGCACTTCAAACCTTGACATAGTATCTCACCTACTTGAAGATTTCTCCTATATAGAAAGTGCCTGGCTCAAACTTCATCCTACAAGTGAATACAGTTTTTATTCTGGTTAAAAATACCTAGTTTCTAGAGAATAGCCATAGTCTGTAAAAATATAAAAACATTGTAGTAAGCAGCAATCATAGAATAGAGTTTTATCCTGTTAGCAGGTTTCCTTCTTTATTCTTCTTATAGATTAGTTTTATTTTCTTTTTGTTTAGTTTTATTTTATTCTTTATTTTCATTCCTTCTTTTTTCAACTTTAAAATTATTTTCTTTTTTTTTGTTTTTCTCTTTTTTACAAGAAGATGTTTTCAGATTAGCAGTATTCTATTGTGAGGTAAGGGTCAGACAAGTCAAATTTTTAATCCTAACTGGATTAGTATAGCAGGTCACATTTAGGTACTATTTGGATGACCAGATAATGATAAATTTATAAATTAAATAATATTTTGTATTTATATATATAGCTACAAATGGTTTAATAAAGTACTATCATGACTGCTTAAATGAAAAAAAAACCAATAACCATTTATAGAATATTTATTTAATTATATGCATTCCTTACATCAAATTATTGTTTTTATTAATAATGACTAATTTTAATTTACATTTTTATGTAATTAATTATTTAATACAAAGATTAAATAAAACAAATAAAGAAAGCTAATTTATTGTTTAGCAAAAGTATTTTTTAGAATTAATTAGAAGCAAAAGAATGCAGAAGAATTGCAAAATAAAAAATTATAGCAATAATATTATAAAATTTTAAACTGCAATATTTTAAAGAATTGAATTTGATACAAATCTTTTTGAAATTATTATTATTTTTTTTTTATTAAGGTGACCTCTTTGGTCTTTTAATTTTTATTAATCACTTATTGGTATTGTGGTTCAATGAACCACTACAGGAAAGCGTACAATTGGCTACATGTGTAACTTTTCTATATTATCTATTTAAGGAGTCTGCCTGAAGGTTTCTCACTAATTGCTATATTTAACACCTCTGCTTGGGAGTTTCACTTTAAACCCTCTGAACCTGTAATCTGTATTAACATCACTGAGTTATTCCAGATGCCCAGATCATCATCTCAACCTTAGGACTAATTTATTCTTGAGGTAAACCCTTCAGAGCCTTTTGTACCCATTTTTATAGCTAACCTAGATATTGCTATAGCAGAACTAATACTTGCAGTCAGAGCTGACTATTAAACTACTATGCCCTTATAGAGTTCACACAAATCTCAGCATCTACTTCACAGTATATCTGAAATACTTTAGTATATTTCTGCTAATTTACCAAACTCCCAATTTAGATAGCTTACTAAGACTTATAACTGGTCTATTAGTATATTAGATCAGTCTAATATTCTTTTTCTTTAGCTCGATTTGGCAGCCTGGTTAGTGGTACCTCCTACCTAAAGGTTTTTGCCTGTTCAGCTATTTCAACTTTGATATCCATTTTATAAGGCTAGTCTTTACAATAGGGTCATCAAAGATCTGACTATTTCTTTACTTAGATTTTTCTAAATGAACTTCTTATTACCCAATTTCAACAGATTTATACAGCCACAAGGACTTATCTAGTGTTTGCACTACCTAATTGCCAGTTTGCATTTCTTCATGTAACCACAATCTTGTTCCAAAGGACAATGTCATGTAACCTGTTACATGAATGTCTTATGACTTATCAGTCATGCTAGTGTGATTGCTATTACAGGTATCTTAACCCAATTATTAGTAACAGTTGCCATAATACAAATATTATATAGATGATTATCCAAATTTTTACTGTCGATAGGATTTGAACACCCAACCTACAAATTGAAGGGTTGACAACCTGACCATTTTACTAGGTTGCCATACATCTCTCTTTTTAAAATTATTTAAAAAAGCACAATCCACAAAAATTTATTAAAAAAGTTTTATAATAATGTGATAAAAATAAATGTTTAGTGATAATTTAATAATCTAATATGGATAAGTACTCAATATAATTGAACATACCAATACTATTAAATCTTCATAACATTAGTTATTTTAAGTTTATTTGCAATATTCGAAATTACTGCATTTGAGCTATTTTGTAAATAATTATACAAATTTGATTGATTTTTTTTTTTTTTGGTATTAAGGTGACCTCTTTGGTCTTTTGACTTTTATTAATCACTTATTGGTATTGTGGTTCA